ACTTTACAATCTGTAGCTTTCTCCCCCCTTTCTTTTTCTTTCTCTCTACCTTCCTTCCTGTGTGAAAGTCACAAATAGCAAGGAATTTTATTCACATGCATAAGGGCACACATACATGCACAGTTGTTTTCATAAACTTGATTCCTAGAAATGGCATTGCTGAGTCAAATTGGGAGTCTGTATGTCTTCACTTTTGGCTGAAATGGGTTAACCTATTTACTTTCCCAAAAGATTGCATGAGTTTTGAGTTTCCACCAGAATGGTGTTGTGGTGCATTTTGGAAAGTGACCTTTTCTCATACTTAGGTTTCTTAGGATTGAATTATCTTTTCCTGTTTGATAGGTGAAAAATGATAACTTCATTATATTTTTTATTATATTTCTTTAATTATTAGTAAGGTTGAACATCTTTCCACATTTTTGTTGGCTATTTGTGTGACTGTCTATCTTCATGCTCTGTGTTGGTCAGCTTTTCATCTTTGGGACAAAATACCTGAAAGGGAGGGAAAAAACAAACAAACAAACAAAAAACCTTGGAGGAGGAAAATTTATTTTGGTTCATGATTTCAGAGGTTTCAGTCTATGGTCAGCAGGCTCCAGTGCTTTGGGCCTGAAGTAAGCAAAACATCAATGCCAAAGGATACAGTACAGGAATGCCACTTACCTCATGGCAGACTGTAAGCACGGAGAACAAATGAGAGAGGAAGGGGCTGGGGACAAGATATACTCTACCAGGGTGTGCCACCTATTACCTACTTCCTTCAACCATACTCCACCTCCTACAGTTTTTATCACCTCTCAATAATGCCATCAAATGATTCATTATTTGCATTAACCTACTCATCAGTGCATTAACCTACTCATGAGGTCTGAACCTTCATGATCCACTCAGCTTTCTAAAGGTCCTACCTCTGAATATTACTGCATCGGTGACCAAACCTTCAACACATGAACCTTTGGAGACATTCCATATCCAAACCATAACATCTTTCTTTTCATTTTTTTTCTATTTGAATATTGGTCTTGTCTTATTCAGTATTTAAATAAAAACAAATTAGTCCTTTGACATGTGTAACTGAAATAATTATTCTCCTCCTAATTGTCATAGTTTTTAGAAATAATTTATGTGATATTTTTTAAAGTAATATAAAAGTTTCATATTTTTATGTAACCAATTTGGCATATTTTCCTTAATAGCTTATAGCTGTTTTTGTCCTCCAAGGTTTGCAGAAACACTCATATTTTCTTCTAATACATTTGCAATTTTTTTTTTTTTAAAAACATCTTTTTGTAATTTGGGTATTTATTTTAAGATGTCAGATGGGGGAGAAAGCTTACCTTACTTGTTGTTTGCTAGCTGCTTACCTCCCCTTTCCATTCCTTCCCCAAAGTTTCAAAGCAGAAAAGATTTGCCCTAATCCATACACCCTTTGCCTTTCATGTTATTTCCATCTCGCTAGCCCATTTTACCCATCAGAGGAAAGATAATTGTTGTGAAATTCTTTTGACCCAATTCCAAGGAGAATCCTGGTCTACCATGACACTGGGTTGAATGTCTTCTTACTACGTGTTCTATGATACACTGTTTTGTATCCCATTATGGTTCTATTTAAAACTGTAGCCTTAAGCCATTTTGTTTTCTTGACCTCAGAAGTTATCTGGGCATAAAAATATTATCTATTTTCTGGAGACATGATAGAGTTACCCCTGCTGTTTTTGATTTGTTAGGTATAATCGAAGTCCTGTCATTTAAGTGTCTTTAATATGCAAAAAATGTTGTCTAAATTTATACCTTCTTTTTTTTTTGAGGTTTTTGAATAATACCCACTTTGTATAAAAATATAATTCTTTTCAAAGTAGCAGTAACTTCTTAGCCAGTTTTGGAAGCCTAGTAACAGCTCTTTGAGTTTAGTACTTTCTTATGTTGGTGTGAAATAAGTGTTTTTATAATCTACATCTGAAGTCCTATTCTTTAATGTGTTTTATTTCTGTATCAGCTTTTAACTTTTACAACTAATCTGTGAGTTTTCTAGAATTCAGTCAGGTAATCCAAGAGAGATTACATTAAGAAAACAAAAGACCTGAGTTGGGTGCCACTTCACCTGCCTGTAATCCTAGCAGCTTGGGAGGCTGAGGCAGGAGGATTGAGAGTTCAAAGCAATGGCAAGTCACTAAGTAACACAGTGAGAACCTGTCTGTAAATAAAATACAAAATAGGTTGGGGATGTGGCTCAGTGGTTGAATGCCCCTGAGTTCAATCCTCAGTACCAAACAAAAAGAAAAAAGAATGAAAAGAAAAGAAAACAGCAGACCCTGAGAATGTTCCAGGAAATTATAAGTGCTAAAAATGCTGAATTCAGCCCTTTTCTCTTATGTTTCGGAGGGTTGAATTCTCCCCTTCCTCAGGGATTATTGTTGTGGCTTTAATTTACATTTAAACATTTATAAATTTAAAAAGATAATTTATTTGAGCCTTCATATTTTTCATAAAATAATAGTGTTGAACTTATAGCATATATTATTTGTTAACCATCCTTTGATGTACTGCACTTTGCTGCTACCATGAATAAAATATGCTTTAAAAAGGGATATCATCAGTACTTTAAATGAGGCCTGAAATCTGCAACACAGTACTTCTGTCATATCCTGTTGTTGTATTATGTTTTTCATTAGCAATCTCTCAACGAAGGTCCTTTTCCATTCTAGTCATTTACACCTATCATTTACTTTGCAAATGGATTACTGCTGTGTATATCTTGATTCTGTCTGGTCTATCATTCTACATAATAAATGTATTTATTTTTTTTTAGAGAGAGAGAGAATTTTTTAATATTTATTTTTTAGTTTGTGGTGGACACAACATCTTTACTTTATTTTTATGTAGTGCTGAGCATCAAACCCAGCGCCCCGTGTATGCCAGGCGAGCACGGTATTGCTTGAGCCACATCCCCAGCCCTCTATATAATAAGTTGATAGGGCTCTATTACATTTCATGTTGTAAATTTGGTCTTTCATTCTAGCCCATTAGTCTTAAGCTTCAGTCTTCCATTTTAAGCCATTTTTCCTAATTTTTGTGTCAATCTTAGTTGGCTGTGTTAAAATTAGAGATTATATGCTGACTGTAAAATCTTATCTCCTAATATGTTTTATTTGACTAGGTAGCACATTGCTCTTTTTTGGCGGGGGGGGGATGCTTTTAATAAAGTCTTGCACTGGTTGACCAACCACTGTCCCTTAATGCTTTACAGAGTTTGGCTATACCTTTACATTTATTATTTAGCTATTGAAGGTATTTGCCCTTACAACCCCTCGTAAATGCACTTATAAAGCAATTATAAAGGACAGAGTTCATAGTCTTACTACAAGAAAACCACCATTGAACACAACAGTAGTCTTTTATTCTTTGTATTCTTCCCTTTTAGAATGATTGTTTAGCAAATGAAATAAATTGTAACCCAATGCTGTGCATATCTGCAAGTTGTTAATAAATATATCACAATTAACTTTTCTCAAATGATTTATTAAAATAAAAAGTTGTAATTAAGAGTTTTTTAAAAATAGTTTTTACTTATAAATGAACACAATATCTTTATTTTTGACTTATTCATTTTTATGTGGTACTAAGGATTGAATCCAGTGCCTCACATGTGTGAGGCAAGTGCTCTGCCACTGAGCCACAACCTCAGCCTGTTATGAGTTTTTTTAAAAAAGAAAACTTTGACATCTGAATCCTCTTTGTATCTGCCATTCACTTTGACCTCACGTTGTGATTTGTTTTCACTCCACCTGAAGTCCTCCTTGCATACTCAATTTTCATTGCCTCTTTTATACCTGCACACTTAATTCCTCTGCAGTGGCTAGTGATATACAGTAAATGCTGAAAATTTAAATTCTCTACTTCAGTTTGGTAGCTTAAGATAATTTCATATTTGGAAATTATGGAAGTTTGTTTACTTGTAGTTTTTCCCACTCATAGATTCTCATCTTCATTTTCTACTTTGATTTATCTAACTGATATCATTTACATGAACAGGGTACAGGTTGTTCCTCTTTCTTATTTGGTTGGAATCCCTTCTTCAGATCGTGAGTTGGTGTCTTTGTGCTGCTAAAAAAAAGGATATTTAAACATATGACCTTTTTGTGGTAACTCACTTCCTTAAGAGTTACTCTTTTTGTTACAGTTAATTATAGAACACAAGTGTGATTATTTTACTAATTATATACTATTAAGTAACCATAAAATCTTTTTTGTGGAGATTAGAGACATTTTTTTTTTTTTAAGTACCAGAACTGAATCCATTATTGCTTTTTCGTTTCTTTTTTTTTGTTTTGTTTTGTTTTGTTTTGTTTTGTTTTGTTTTGTTTTGAGACATGGTCTCCCTAATTTGCTAAATGCCTCATTCAGTTGCTGAGGCTGGCCTTGAACTTGAGATCCTTCTGCCTCAACCTCCTGAATCTTCTGGAATTACAGGCATGTACCACCATATCCAACTGGACATTAGAGACATTTTGAACAATATCTAATCAAATTACAGCTGAAGAAACTGAAGCCTACAGTGATTGACCTGCACACACTAATTCCATCAGAGCTAATGCTAGAAATCTGTTTTTCTTAGCTCTCAATTCAGTACTCATTTACTACCATACTGCTTTACTGGTAGGATATGAAGACATTAATTCTCAGCTTAGAAGATAGGAAATTTTGTGATTGGTGATATCTTTGAAAATCATGGTTAACAAAATAATAGTTTAAATATGATTGGGAATCTTAAGAGTATTGAAACGTCCATGTTTTTAACATGGAATTATTACTAAGGTGTGTACACTTGTTTTTACTGTTTTGGTTATTTTCTAAAATAATTTTGTGTAATTAAAATTGAACACACAAATTTTTTCTTTAAAAATCTGAACAAGTGAATGTATAGGGAATTTACTTTGAGTATTTAAAGAAAGGCCAATTTGTAATCTGTTTTGTTTTTTGTTTTGAATAAACCTTTTTAGAAAGATGAGGTCTACCTTAATCTGGTGCTGGACTATGTTCCGGAAACAGTATACAGAGTTGCCAGACACTATAGTAGAGCCAAACAGACTCTCCCTGTGATCTACGTCAAGGTATGTAAAAATGGAACAATTTCCCATTTTGGAAAATATTTGTTGTGAGCCAGGGAGAATACAGGATATTTTTAAATTGTATTACTGCATTTAATTCTCGGGGAGGAAAAACTGCTAAGGTAGATAATGCTAGTTTGGTAAATTTTTGTATGGTTTTAAAATAATGAGATTTTACTTTTAAAACTTTCATGACACATATTAAAGGTATTCTGATAAATTTTAGTGAATTGTTCATAGACAGTTTTGGATTTTTATTCTGCAATCTGTTGCTTATTTTCATTTAATTTCTGCTATCTTTATTGTGCCACAGACCAAAATAGGAGCATATCATGTAGACTCACATAAAATTATATACTTATCAATATGTTCAAATTTAAGGTCTTATTGACATTTATAGGTACATTTATTGTATCTGTAGCAGAAATTTAAACTTTTGGCAATTTTAAACATTTTAATATATTTATTTATTTAGTATTATTTAATTTGTGGTTTCTCATACTGATGCCATCTAATTTATTTAATTTGTTTATTTGGTACTGGGGATTGAACCCAAGGGCATTTTACCACTCATCTACATCCCTGACCGTTTTAATTTTGAGACAGGGCCTTGCTAAGTTGCCCTGGCTTAGAATTTGTGGTCCTCCTTCATCAGCCTCCCAAGTTGCTGGGATTACAGGTGTGCAGCACCACATAGGCCTTATAAAATGTTATTGTTGAATGTTTTTATTTCATCTTAAGAGCTGGAATTCTTTCATAAAGAGAAACTTCCCCATTTAATCTTTTTTTATTTTAGTTTTAGTAATCAAAACTAAAATATGTGGTGATGAGGATTGCACCCAGTGCCTCACACATGCCAGGCTCTACCACTGAGCTACAACCCCAGTCCCCCATGTACTTTTATCTGTACTCTAAAGTACAATTTATATAAAAGACAGGTATATATTTGATTCCTTACTATTATTTAGCAAAATTTAGAATTGGTTGGTTCCATAACATCCTTCATAGGTGACTAGTTGGGTGTTTTCTTGTTTGTTTGTTTATACTATTTGTTAGCTTCCTTGTTCTCTAGAATAGTGTTCCAGGTTCATCTTACACATTTCTTTCTCATACTTGGAATCAACTTTTTCTTCAAGGAGACCATGTTCTTTTAGTAACAAATGTTTTTTAGATATCATAGTCTAAATGCTGGAGGTGCTAAATGCTATAGGGTTGGTTACTGCTTCTGAATATTTTTAGTAAAAAGAGCTAGGAGATGTGGGTAATTTTTTCAAAGATATAACACATCTGTTTTTCTCCCCCAAGGGTAAATACACATAAATTCATATTGATACTTTCAATTAAAATTGAGGGTTTTTAAAAATCATATCTTTTTAAAAAATTATTATTGGTTCTTCTTAGTTTTACATGACATCAGAGTCTATTTTTTTAAACCCTGATAATCTTCCACACTTAACATTGAAAATTTCACTTCTCAATGACATCATTATAATCACCCACTTATTAGCACCTCTAGCTGACAATAATGTAAGATCTTTTTGAAGCATTTTTTAACCTCCCATTCAATCCCATTAGGAATTAACCAAGCTATCTGTTTTAAAGCAACATTGAAGAACTCTCTTTGTGTGATTATACCCCATTAAGCTTTGTAATTTCATTTTACTGTTATTATAGTTGTAATTTTAAAATGCTAAATTAATTTTACTTTTAAATTAACATTTACATGTTTTCAAAGTACAAAATATGTTCAAAGAAGTTCAACTTTTATGTGTTCCTTCTACCAGTTAAATGGTCTTAAATATTTTAAAACAGTTTATTATATCATTTTAAAAAACAAGCAGTGTGTAATTATTTTACCCAATTCTAGTCCCATTTTCTCTAAATGTATAAATTTTCCCTTTGGGGGGGGTATAAAAATACATCCTGGAGATCTCTTTTATATTTTCCTGGATTGAAAAATATATCCTGGAGATCACTCCATATTTTCATATTTTGCCAGCATATAGTTGGGCTTCATCTCTGACATTCTATCTTTAAAAAATAAAATAAAATTGTGCATATTGAAGTTGACATACCGGAAAGAAATCTCGTACTTGTTTCTCCTCCTTGTGAAAAAAAAGGAATTATTCTTTTTCTTAAATGACCACAGCCCTTTCTTTTTTTCTTTCTTTTTTTTTTTTTTTTAACCACAGCTCTTTCAGAATCAGAACTCTTGGCCCTAGGTATTATTCTCTGGAGATACAAATCTATTTGTGTTTAAAGTCCTGAAAAGAGAAAAATTATTGTCTACAGTTAATGAGTTTACGAGTTGAGCTTCTTCATTTATTTATATTGTGTAGTTTAATTGTAGTCCTATTATTTGAAAAATCTTAGTTTGGGAGATGGAAATAAAAGTGACAAATTACATACAACTCTTTTATGATCACCATCTAATAAGGACTTGTTTGGCATACATGTTACCAAAATAGAAAATGCATTTCTTTCTGATTATTTACTTTCACTTTTTCTAGGTGAGTTGAGTTGTTCTCTGACTATATTGTTTGGAACCTGTTTCTTCATCCCTTTTCTACTACTATTGCCTTTTTTGTAGTTGATAATAGTTGTAAGATAAAAAGTTTTGAGCGCCTGTGTTTTTGTGCTGTGCATCTTTCAGAACTAAGTATCTTTTGAAATGTAATTCTGAAACACATGGCTATCCAATCATTGGTATGAATTTAAATTTTTTGTTTTTTGTTTTTTGAGGTGAGGTGTCACTATGTTGCTCAGGCTGGCTCTGAACTCCTGGGCTCAAATGATCCTCCTGCCTTAGCCCCGTGGGTAGCTGGGACTATAGATGTGTGCACTACACCCAGCTTCAAGTGGGTTTTTTGTTTGTTTTTAAATAATTGGGAAAACAGACTAACTTGTTTAAGGACAAGGTCTGAATACATAAGAGAGCTGGATACATTTTTGTTATTTTGTTATTTATTTTAAACAGATTTGGTGGCACAGAGGGGAGTACATTGACCTTGAGTTAGATTAACTTTATTACTGTGCTCACTGAGCCTCAATTTCCTCTCCTGGAAAAATAAAGGGAAATGTATATATCAGAGTGATTGTAAAAATTAAACAGATGAGTAGAAAAGCACTTGGTTTTGTGTTTAGTACGCGTTAAAATAATACGTTATATTTCAAATTGGGTTCATTAGAGTAAAGATATGGCAGAATAAAGAAAGTAAAATTTAAAGAGGAGTGTTCATCCTCAAACCATTACAGAAGATTGGAAATGTGATAGTGGGCTATTATTTAATCTCTCTGGGCCTGGTTACCTGAAAGGCCTGGTTTATTTTATAAAATAAAATAATAGTAGTATTTATGGATTACATGGGGTTGTTCCAGTATTAAGTGAAATAACACATATAAAGCACTAGAATACTGCCTATCTTCTGTAGAAAGCCTTTTAGGTTTCTTATAAGTATGCTTTTACAAAGTGGAACAACAACAAGATGTGAAAAGAATATTTTATTCTAACCTAAAGAATAAAGAATCAAGTGAAGAGAATGGAGATTATCTTTCAGATGAAAGAATATAGTAAAACATCATCTTGAAATTAACCTAATTTAAGCTGTTTAGCATTTTTTTAAAGAAAACTTTTTGTTTTCATTGTTTTTTTTTTTTTTTTGCTGATGTAGATGTTGAAACCCTCATAGAGTTGGTAAAATCTTTATTTTAGTAGATGAGTACCTGTGAATTCAGTTGCTTATAGATCATTTTCTAGGTAATAAAGAATTAAACTTGCAGAATACATCTTAAGACTTTGAGATTGATTCTGTGAACAATTATACACTTTTATAGAATTACATAGTTTTAAAAAAGATACATGAATACCTGAATATTTTAATTCTAAGTTTAATGGCAAGTGCTGATCTTATTGAATTCATCTTATGTATGCATTTTATGTCATACTTCATCTTAAAGACGGCTTAAACTTTTCCAACTTAATATTAAAGATGTATTGAAATTTACCTGTTTGTAGTTTCCGTCATACCTCTGAAGGAAAGTAGGTTTCCTGTTAAGTAATCCAACCCTTATCACAAGTCATATGGCATCATATGTCAATTCTTTATCTAACCTGTATCTTTTAATTTTATTTCATTTTCAAATTTTTATTATTTTACCAAGACACTCTTATCTTTGGTTTGAATCATTTCACAATTTTTTTGCCATGTAATTAATTTTGGGCTAGAGGTCAGAAGGTAAGCAGCCAGAAAAATTACAAAGTGAATTATTTAAAATTTTTACAAAGAGAACCCAAGATCCAGGGTGGAAGGGAGTGAATTAGATCACTACTGGCCTTTGGATAAACAGAGGATTTTAGTATTCTTTTTTTTCTTTTTTAATTTTTTTTTTGTAGTTGTATATGGACAGCAGGCCTTTATTTTATTTATTTCCATATGGTGCTGAGGATCAAACCCAGTGCTTCACACATGCTAGGCAACTGCTCTGCCACTGAGCTACAGCCCCAGCGCAGGATTATGGTATTCTTATAGTATGTATCAACTATATATCTCTTTTAGTAGTAGAATTGAAGAAAATTATCTTTTAAGGTGATATCAGTAGTCACCTAGGCATGTGTTTTTAAATGGTATTTAAAAATCTTATTTCTGAAGGATATTAATAAAAAGAGTGGTGATGCTACTAAAGGATTACTGATGTTTTGATAGGTAATTGCTAATTTTTTTCAGCACACCTGTGAGTTTTCAGTAACCTTAGAAACTGACATGTCAAGAAAAAAAAAGATTCTGAAGATGACATTGGAAATACTTTTCACATTAAGCAGCCTGACATACTAGAAAGAATGATGAACTAAAAAATCAGAAGACTTGGCTTCTCATCCAAATATTGGTTTTGAGTCATAGGATTTGGGATATCTCTCTTGAGTTTTATAAATAAAAACTCATCTTAGCTAGTAGGAGGTAAGATGTTAGTAAGTAAGAGCTTATAAAGCTCATTGTCAGGTTTCCTTTTTTAAGTTATTAAAGGACGGTACAAATCCATGGTTAATGATACTTAAGTTAGCTAATTCATACAGACATGACATGAAACTTGTTTAAGGAAGATTGAGTAATCACCAGTATTCACCTGTTCTGTGTTGGGATTGTTACTATTTTGTGGCTTAGTGTTTCTAGTTTGATTGAAATAGGAAGTATTCAATTAATGCTCATTATTTATTCCAGTTGTATATGTATCAACTGTTCAGAAGTTTAGCCTACATCCATTCCTTTGGAATCTGCCACCGGGATATTAAACCACAGAACCTCTTGTTGGATCCTGATACAGCTGTCTTAAAACTCTGTGATTTTGGAAGGTAAGCTAGCTCCTCCTTCGGCACCTTTTCTATCACTCCCTGTCCCCAAAATAATCATTTTATTAAATATATTCCTTTTACAATTTCAGTCTAGACCCTTACTAAGGGAGCATAAACTAATGCAATTCTTTGTAAGGGTAGTTTTGATTATTTCTGTTAGAATTATAAGTGTGTGTATTCTTTTAAGTGACAATTTAACTTTTAGGAATTATTTCATTGAAAATATTATTTTAGGGCTGGGGATGTGGCTCAAGCGGTAGCGCGCTCACCTGGCATGCGTGCGGCCCGGGTTCGATCCTCAGCACCACATACCAACAAAGATGTTGTGTCCGCCGAGAACTAAAAAATAAATATTAAAAATTCTCTCTCTCTCTCTCTCCATCTCTCCTCTCTCACTCTCTTTAAAAAAAAAAAGAAAATATTATTTTACAAAATACTGTATGTATAGAGATTTTTAATCATTCATTGTTTATAAATATCTATTTGTAAGAAAATGTCAAAAAATTTTAAGATATATACAAATAAAATGTTATACATGCCACCAAAAAAAAGAATGAGGCAGCTCCTTATGAACTAGAAGGGAATCATTTGTAGTAAATATTAAATAGAAAAAGCAAGGTCAAGACTGTAGTATGCTACCTTTTGCTTTAAAAAAATAAACTGTGATTATATGTGTGTGTGTGTATATACATTTCAAAATGTATATGTGTGTATGCATATATGTATATCCATATATATAATGTATGCACACATGCATATGACTTGTTTCTAAAATAATATGTAATCTATAATATTTCCCCTGGGTAGAGAAATTTGGGGAATATAATGTAGTTGGGATACTCACTTTTTCATTGATTATATTTGAGTATTGTTCAAATGTATATTATGTGTATATTAATGTCTTCAGTAAGAACTAAATAAAATATTTTTTATTATACATTGCTATGTATCCTTTTAACTTCAGAATTAACCTCAATTCAGGAATCAGGTAAAAGGTGGATCTAGTTGCAACTTTTATTTTCCTCTAGTAATCTCTTATTCCTCCTTCTTTTATGTAAATTCCTACAAGTTTGTTGAATTCTTAAACTTATTCTTTGGTAATATACTGTGACTTGGTAATAAAACCTTATCCTTTCCATTTCCATGTAGTCAAGCCTATATTCCCTTCTAGTACTCACAGTTATCCTGTTATTTCCTCTCTGATATTATCATCTAAAACAATCTTTTGCTCTTTTCTGCCCTGAAGAGATCTCTGTGTTAACTTGGATTTTCCAGGTTTTTTCATCCTTATCACAAATTCTTATTTTTCAACTTAACTTTGTAGATTACATATTGACTCAGACCTGGTAGTATCTGTGTTCTTACTTCTTTATAATACTTTAACATCCCCCAGTTCAAATTTTAGGTTTCACATAGGATATATTTTCCACAGGCTGTAGTAGAGAGATCCTTAAAAACCAAGCATATCTACTTATCATAAATTAATTCTTAATAGTCTCAGAAATGTATTCTCTTTCAGCCATCCCATTTTACTATTTCCTAATTTTAAACACCTATCCTAGGACACAGCTCACTATAACTCTGTCCTTTGAACTATAAAAGTGGGGAAAAAATCAAATCAAAAGTTTGAGGCTGGGATTGTTAGCGCTTGCCTAACACGTGTGCGGCCCTGGGTTTGATTATCAGCACCACATATAAATAAATAAAATAAAGGTGTTGTGTCTACCTACAACTAAAAATATATATATATATACACTTAAAAAAATCAAAACTTTTGATGCTTAAAATAAAGTGTGACTACTTATTTTTTGTAGGATAGTTGCCCAAATTAGATGAGTTTTATCATTATGCATATCTTTCCCACTGAGAATAATTGACTGCTAAGTACTTTAAAAAGACTGTGACACCAAGATTAGTAGTTTCTTTTCTGTCTTAGTGTCAAAACACAGTTGGGACAGGCCATATTGTTAGAACATAATATTTTGTGTTCTAATTTGTGATAAGGATGAAAAATCCTGGAAAATCCAAGTTAACAGAGAGATCTCTTCAGGACAGAAAAGAGCAAAAGATTGTTTTAAATGATAATACCAGAGAGGAACTAACAGGATAACTGTTGGTACTAGACAGTTTATGGTGATGAAGGGTAAAAAAAATTTAAGGTCATTTAGTCATCACTGACTAGAAATAAATTGAAGAAAAGAAAGCCTAGACTTTATTCTAATAAATTTGGAACAGGGATTTTATTTGTATGGTAAGACTGCATTTTTATAAACTCTTTGATAACAAAGGTGCTTTCTTGGTTTTTAACAAAATTGTTTTGGGCAAGTAGGGTTTGAGAGACACTTGATACTCTTAGGTACTAGGTTGGTAGAGATTTGAACAGACCAGTATTAATGTCTTATTATTAATTCTTTACTGGGTGAAACAGCACCTGAAGGTAGCTGAAGGGCTACATGGGCTAAGAATTCTCTTGGGTAGGGAGTTTTACAAACAGCCTTATTTTGTAAAAGAAAGAGGATAGACACATATATCAAGTAGTGAAAGAGTCTATAGACTACAAAGCTTTCATTGTTACCATTTGATTTGCAGTGAATTTTTAAACTGTAATTGGAATCTATTTTGTTTTAAAAAGTGGACTTTTAAAGGTAGAAAAGTTTCTTATCACCTGTGCTTGAAATGAAATGTTTTAATTTTTAGAAAACATAAAAATACGTTTCATTTTTGATTCATGAAATTTTTGTTTGTCAGTACTTAGGGAGGGAGAGGGTGAAAAATAAACTTTTAAACCAGTGATGAGCAGGGGATAGTGGTGCAGGCCTGTAATCCCAGTGGCTCAGGAGGCTATGGCAGGAGGATCACAAGTTCAAAGCCAGCCTCAGCAAAAGCAAGGTGCTAAGCAACTCAGTGAGACCCTGCCTCTAAATAAAATACAAAATAGGACTGTGGATATGATTCAGTGGTCAAGTGCCCCTGATTTCAATCCCTAGTACCCCCTGCCCCTCCAAATGGTGATGAAGGGTAAAAAAATTTTAAGGTCATTTAGTCATCACTGACTAGAAATAAATTGAAGAAAAGAAAGCCTAGACTTCAAAATCCTTATGACTATTTTCATCCATTGTTATTCTGATTTTCCTGTATCTATGTTTGATGTTATTATGGTTAGCCTCTTCCGTAGCAGCTTATTTAAATGGTTAGCTTCTGTAGCAGCTTATTTTTTCTTCAGAGACACCTCAAAATATATTAAGTACAATTTACTATAATGTTTAAAATACATACTATAAAGTATTTTAGAGTTAAAGGTGAAATAAGAGAACACATAGACTTACCACAAGAGACCGAATTTATAGGTTGTGAATACTTTCTTCCCTAAAGTTTAAGGCCTATCTTTTTGTAGTTTACTGGATAATGAGTATGTAAACAGTTAATAAATCAACCAAAATGTGGAAATTAAAGAGATTAGGTGTGTATTCCTTCAGATATTCATCCCGAGTCAGAAGTAAACCTTGTAAGGATCGGGCCACATTTCTCACTCTTTTAAAGAAATGTGTTGAATTAGAAATATTCCTCCTTCTATTCTGATCTGTTATCATGCCTTTTGGTAGAGAGAGGTGTCTCTTCATTTTGTGCCCTTCCATCTTAATATTTTAGAAGTAGAATTTGGGAAACAGAATCAGAAGAAATTCAACATTTATTCTTTTCTGACTTTTTAATCTCTTTTTTATTAGGCAACAATTGAGCCATTCTGCCTTTTAAAATCTCTGTTCTATTTTACTGAAAAAAAATGTGAGAAAATTGTAGATTGGGATAGTTATGGTTCATATTTTCTCTTTTGTATATTGGATGATTGGAATGATATGAAACTTAAAAGATAAACATTTGGTATTGTGCATGATAATTATAAGTTCCTTTAAAGTTTAAATTTTAAACACTTTTTATTTTTTATATTTTTATTAGTGCAAAGCAGCTGGTCCGAGGAGAACCCAATGTTTCATATATTTGTTCTCGGTACTATAGGGCACCAGAGTTGATCTTTGGAGCCACTGATTATACCTCTAGTATAGGTAAGTTCTGAATCTGAATATAATGTTTATAATTATTAATTGCATCTTGATTTTAACAATCATTATTATCAATCTACTTTCACTGGCCTAGAAAGAAGGGTGTTACCTATATTTTTTCTTAAAGATGAGATGTAGAAATACACGTACATATATTTAAATTTTACATTTAAGAATTTATGATACACTTTGTAATCTTTAGGATTTTTTTGAGTAGTAAAATTATAAAGCTATAGTTGGTTATCTATTTGTTTTTACCTTATTAATGATTCAAATCCTAAGTTGTATACCTTTCTTAAATTTGCATGAAATGTTCAGTTCTGAGCTTGATTGCCAGTTAGAGAATTTAATGTTATTTCATTGTTAATAACACAGGTGATAGGCTGACCATATTATTGAATTCATCCCATGCTGTCTTATTTTGGTTATTTAACTTCAGATCAGCATAAATCATTAGCAGTTCAACCAAGATCACTGATTCTTTTTTTTTTTAATTATTTTTAGTTGTAAATCGACACAATACCTTTCTTTATTTATTTTATGTGGTGCTGAGGATTGAAGCCAGTGCCTCACTTACACGAGGCAAGTGCTCTACCACTGAGGTACAACCCCAGCATCCAGCTCACTGATTCTTTAGAAGTCTGTAGCAGAGATGTTTAGTGATTGAAGGATATGAATGGAGACAATTAATTGGAGTCTCTATTGACCTTTTCTTCCCCATTTTAGCACCCTGGTTAAAATACAGACCATACATGAACAGCTGTACATGAATAGGAAACTAAGAAACAAGGGGCAAGCTTAGGCTATATGGTGCAAGTGGACGCCAAAAATTATTTTATTCTCATATGTTTTTTCTGATTAGAATTCTGTAGTCCGAAATTGGAACATAGAAAAGAATAAATACACAGCCCCCTAAAAACCCTGCAGTACCGAAAACTTAAAAAAAGAAAGAAAAAGAACAACAATTTTGGAAACTTTTTGACTTTATGATACAAATAAAAATTCTCTAATATGAACAAACTCCTTAAATAGAAACACATTTTCATTTTCATTTTGCCAAAAAGGGATATGCTGGGTTACATTTTCATTTGTTCCAAGGGACTAGAGTTTTATCCACCATTTGTTTTGTACCGTCAAGTGCAAATTTCTACCCAGTGAAATAGCATATTCTTTAAGAAAATAGGTTTGCTCTCCAGGACCTCTGAAAATATCCAGAAGACCTAGGGTTCTACAGAGCACACTTTGAGAACTGCTGCACAAAGGGAGAGAGAATATAACACTGTGTATATGTAATGCTAATGTCTTTGTTATGTGGTAATATGTTAAAAGACAAATGAGAAGTGGTACAAAGAATATTTTCCCTGAGTTCAACCTGGATTTGACTTCCAAATCTTGTAATATTGTGCTGAGCTGTAAGATGGAAGTTAGATATTAACAGTTCTACCTACCTTTGTTAGTGTCTGTGAGAGTCCATAAAATATTTGTGAAAGTGCTATAGAAATGTAAAGTGATGTTCTTTCTGTGGCATTTGTTAATTTGAATGGCCCCTAGAGTAAATTTTACCTATTTGTCTTTGGAAATGTCATTGAATTTTTTTTAGCTACTTTATATTTTATTCAAATATATGATACTAATTGTCTACAGGAATGAGTTGTGCCCAGGTCACCTAAAATAAACGCACTTTGGTTCATCCGAAAAAGTCTCATAACTCTAATCATCTACCACATGGAATGTCTATATAAACTAGGGATTTTGAAGCCCTAACGAACCTAGATTTGATCTGCCTCTTAAGGCTCTGAAAAAATTGTAAACATCCAAAAAAAAAAAAAAAGGATATTTGGAAGTATACTAATACAGGAACATTTTTAAGAATAATGTTAGAAATGATAGTCACTTAAGACTGATTATATTATCTTACTGAGAGATGAATGAATTAGAACAAAGGCTTTCTTTTTAGGATAGTTAAGCATATGGACTCTTGAAGAAGCTGTTATTCTGTGACTTTGAGACAGTGTTGTCTTCATTGGGAATTAAAGGTGGATTCCAGGTCTAGGGCTCTGCTATCAGCAGCTTTTCCTTTGACAAGTTGTTTACATTTATCATGTCTTAAGTTCCTTATCTGTGAAGTAAATGTGTTAAATTAGATGGTTTTGAAATATGACTTTATCATGAATAAGAGTTAAGTATGAAACAGAATGCCACTGTGTCTCAAACCCCAAATAACTAAATTTCAATGGACCAGAACCCTTTTGGGAGGGGCCGTGAACCTATTGTTTAGTTGAATTTTTATTCTGTTTGGAGAGTTTCCCATTTTGTCCTGTGAAGTAAGAACAAAAAAGTTGTGGTATCCCCCTGGTGTTTTAGTCAGCTTTTCTCACTGTGAGTAAAGGATCTGGTGAGAACAATTGTAAAGAAGGAAAGTTTATTTAGGGACTCATGGTTTTGGAAGTCTCATAGTATCCATAGATAGCTGGCTTTATTCCTAGGGGTGACACAGAACAACATGGTGGAAGAATGTGGCAGAGAGAAGCAGCTCTCATGGTGACCAGGAAGCAGAGAGAGAGACTTTACTCACCAGATACCAATATATACTCCATAACTACACCTCCAATGAACCACTTCCTGCAGTCATACCCCACCTGCCTCCAGTTACCACTCATTTAATCCCACTAGAGGTTTAATTCACTGATGAGGGTTAGGACTATGACCCAATCATATCTCCTCCAAATCTCTTGCATTGTCTTACACATCAGCTTTTGGGGGACACCGCATCTAAACCATAACACCTGGTTTTAGTATTTTGACTGACTTAACATGAATCAAAGGGTACTTAGTATAGTTGTCACCGAATTTTTTGATTTTTAATTTTGGTGAGAACTACTAGGTAATAGTATTCCTTGATTTTATTTCATGTTTTCCATATTTATATTGAATCCTCCTATTACATTCTCCGTTGTTTTTTTAATGCATTCCCCAGTAATTTTTCTGACCTTGCCTTATGAAATGAATTATTCAGTATTATTAAGGAAAAAAGTAGGTGCACACTAACTTCTGTCTAATTAGATAGGAAGGAAATATTTAAAACTTGAATCAAAATAAAATATTTAGTAAGATGTACTTTTCCATTTGGATCTGTAAAATTTAGTACAATTGTCTTTGAGTGAAATAAAGAGTCTCTAGTAGGTTTTCACATTTGTTCCATTGAGCATTTTCTTAAGGTAACACATAGGACTGACTGTCTTGGTCTACATTATAGAATCAGTGTCTTGACTGTCATTACTTGGAGCTGAACAAAATCAACTTGGATTTTCTCAAATGAAATCTATGACTTGTTTTAGGTCAATAAAAGTAGTCTCTTGAGCAGAGATTTTTGAATCCCTCTTGAGATGTACTATCTCCATACCATTCACTGTTACTCTCCTTCCCTACGTGTAGATAGAAAAACCTATCTAGCACTAATATATGTTCACCTCCCTAAAGTACTTCAGTCTTGATATAGCAATAATATATGTTCATCTCCCTAAAGTACTTCAGTCTTGGTACATACAAACCCCAGGAATCTCAGAAACCTGAAAACTGAAAAATAGCTTTTCTTTGCAGGAAATGTTAATAGTAGAATTTAACTGGAGTGATCACTTATATCAGTTAATTTATCTTCAGATATTTTTTTGGCAGAAAGAGGGTGTTATTAATGATTAGTCAAAGATAATAGATATAAACCAGGAATATACTAGGTAAGCCAGATGTTTGCTTTAAATTAATTTTTTAAATTTATTGTTATTCAATTTATTGATTACATTATTTTTTAAAGTTTTCTGTTTGGGATACCCATTTTGACTTAAAAATGAATTATTTTTGATGATTTATGAAATGAAATATATATACCTCTCTGTCTTTGCCATTACTTTGCATTTAGAATGATGATATATTTAAGCATATTTCTCTGTCAGTCATGTCACATAAAAGTCAACCATTTAAAAGTCACAATTTTCATTGGTTTAAAAAACAGTGTCTGTGGGAGTTTGAACCCTGCATTGCTCCTCCTCTGTAAGCATCTCCTAACATGCAGAGATTGTGTCACTTTGACTGTTTTTAAGTAGAGAAGTACACAGTCATTCTGTGGTTTGGAACTTTAATACTCTCTTGAAGACCTGGTAGTTGAAAATGATACTTTATGCTTTATTGGAATATTCTCATTGGACTTATTTCATCCTTGTTAAGTGTAACACTTATTTAAAATTGAATTGGGAAATTTTTTGTATTTTTTAAAATCCTGTTTAGGATTATACAATTCTTGTGATATTTGCTTTGTGATCAGAGTAATTTAAGTAAAATTAGAAAATATATACATTTTTTTTTCAACTTAAGTTTCAGAGTCTAATAAATCTTTATGTTCTCTTCAGATGTATGGTCTGCAGGCTGTGTGTTGGCTGAGCTGTTGCTAGGACAACCAATATTTCCAGGGGACAGTGGTGTGGATCAGTTGGTAGAAATAATCAAGGTGAGAAGATTGAATTTGAGTTTTTAACTGAAAGTAATTTTGATGCTGTTTTAGTAATATATCACAAATACAAACACACATGTGCAGGAAACTTAAAAAATGGAGAAAGTGATTCAAGATCATGTAGCAAATTCAGGTGTAGAGCAGGTAAAAGAACCCACTAATAATTGAGTTCTCTTCATGTTGAATAATTCTGGAAAATCTATTTTCTGTGTCTGATGCAAGAAAGGGATCTGTTTCAAAGCGTTAGATTACTACTTTGAAATGCAGCCCATTGTATATTTGGACAGCTAGAAATCAGCTTTTATTATGCTGAGCCATAATTCTCTATAATTTCAAGCATTTGAGCATAGGACTACAATCAAGTTATTTTAAAGCTTTATACTTCATTCTATAAAAATGTTTTTTCTTTTAGTCAAGGGGATTTTGCTAGTTGTCATTGTGTGCAAATGTGGTTGAAAAGACCAGTGTGTGATCCTTGATCTTCCTTACTGTCCATAAAATTTTTTATAATTTTCAGCTGAGACTTCTCTTTATTTCCTAAAAGTCTAAAAATACTTCCCACTATTAAAATTAATAGTGCTGTAATACCGAATTGGGCAAACTATTTCTATTAAGAGCTATATAAAATATTTTAGGCTTTGTGGGCCAAAAGGCAGAATCAAAGATGTTATATATATACTTAAATAATGAAAGAGAAAACATATTTGCATTATTTTTTTATTAATAAAAATGTAATAGGAAATGAGCACAATTGTTTTTATTTGTAATGTAGGTATATTAATCAGAAGAATAAATGCTTTTTTGAGAGGTATAAATATTTCTTTAATTGTAGTTCAATTTAATATTCCAAATCACCAAGTTGATTACAAATCCGTAAAAATTAATTCTTAATTCTTGAGCCCTGTTGAAACAGAGTGGGTTCTATAGTTTCCTGACCACTGCTCTAGTACAGCCATTTAGTATTTCTTATATCCCTAGGCTTTCACTTGATATACTTGAATTCATATGCTATAATTCTTTAGGCATGTTGCTGTTCTATTTGTCATAAACATTTGTTCATTAGAATTGTATCATTTCTCTACAAATTATTTTTAAATTTTGCAATGACTTATTTTGTTATTAATTAATTCATACATGATCCAAATGAAATTGCTCAACTTATTTGGTAAGTCCATACCTTGTATCTGCCATAATATCTTATGAACCTTTATCTAGAGCTTGTTTGTGCCACTTTTAGTCATTATAATTTAATTTTTTTCTAATTTAACTTTAGATTTCAGTAGAAACTGTTAACTTTAATCAGGGCTTTAGATACCTTTCTCTGAATTTAAGTGGAAACTGAAAGTGGATAATCATATAGCAAATTGCGTAAAGTTTTTTATGTGGTAGATTTGCCGCAGTTAAAGTTTGTAAGCAGGGACTTCTATTTATTGTCATGTTTTAATGTCTAAAGGTACCAAGCAGATTTCAGTAAAGGTTTGAATTGAATTTAAGCTGCTAGATCATTACCTTTTCATGATTTTGAAATTACCTGGGAATTTATAAGTAGATGTGGTTGTTGTATATGTTTATTAAATTTTATTGGCTCAGATGTTCATGCTAGTAATTTATAGCATGAATAACACAGTTTTATAAATTGAACAACTTTATCTAATTCTAGCTACTCCCTTTTAAAAATGTTATATATTTATTTTAGTTATAAATGGACCTTTATTTTATTTATATGTGGTACTGAGAATCAAACTCAGGGCCTCACACATGCTAGGCAAGTGCTCTACCACTGAACCACATCCCAGCCCCTAGCTACCCTTTTTTAAAAAAAAAAAAAAATTTCAGTTTTAGGTGGACACAATATCTTTATTTTTCATTTTTGTGGTGTTGAGGATGGAACCCAGTGCCTCAGGCATGCCAGACGAGCGCGCTACCACTGAGCCACAACCTCAGCCCCAGCTAGCTACCCTTTTTAATGTTCCTCTAGGTCCTCTAATAAGAAAGCGTTCATAAAATATTTAGAATCAAATTCAAATTAGAATAAAACAAAGTCATGAAAAATCACTTCTGGCATGCAAAACATAACTTTCTGAGGTTAATTTTATTTATAGAATTATCAGATAAGAATTTTATATCAGTTGATCTCTGTATAGCTAAAAGAGGCTTGGATTTCACAGCATTTAAGAAAAGAAAAATTCTGTTAAGACTTTTGGATAATAAGATTTTTTTTCTTAAACATATACTAGTTTAATTCTAATTTAAGTATAGATTTTTATCTTCCTAAACATATAGTAGACATAGTAAACCCCAAGAAATATCTGATGTGGTTTCATATGTGTGGTGAAAAATCAAATGTCTGGGAAAAAGCTGTACCAGATCATATATTCACCGACATAACATTGTCATTTGGCACCTCTGCTATCAGGCATAGAAATGGGATTATTTAAAAACGAGAGAAAGCTTTTGTAATACTGGTAAGGGTGATTTTTTTTTTTTAAAAAGATTTTTTAGTTTTCAGTGGACCTTTATTTTATTTATATGTGGTGCTGAGAATCAAACCCACTGCCTCGCACATGATAGGCAAGCACTCTACCACTGAGGCACAACCTCAGCCCCAAGGGTAATATTTTTTAATGACAGTTACTTTTATAATATAATTTTATATCCTCATTGAAGAAGACTTAAGAAAGCACACACATATTTAAAGAAAAGAACAATCATTACTGCTATGTCACATTATTAAAAATAGTTATATAAATATGAATATTTTCTCATGTCCAGAAGTGTATTTTTAATGACTACATAGATTTCATCTATGATTATATTTTGAGTTTCATAATAAGATTCTGAAAAAAATAATATCATTAAGGTAAAGTGACATTGCTTTTCAAAAGAAGTTTACATGACATTGGCTTCTCAACATTTGATGATTGATTCTCTTAATAAGTGAAAATGTCCCCCAAAATTGCCCAAATGGATTAAAGTTGAAGCACTTCCAGACCTAGAATTGCTGTAGGTTTTACTCATATTTTCTCTGAATTTAAATTTTAAGTAAGGAAAGGTTAACTACAGTCCCAAGTTTATTTTCTGGATTAAAACATCACAAAACTGAGAGTTGGGGGGAAATAATCTTTTGTAAGATTTTAAAGATTTTAAAATGTATTAATATGCCTAGAAATATACTTTCATTTTTTCCATAAACATTAACTTATATTTTAGTAATAATTTGACCATTGCTTTTGAAAGAAAGAGTTTTAGGGCAGAATTAGTCAAAGTTCTACCTCTTGATAGAATTTCAGTAGCTTCTCTAGTTTTAGTAATTATAGTTGTAAAAACTGTCTTCTAAATTTGGTATGCTAACATTGAAGATAGTGACATTAAATTATTTGCAATAATAAATTTGTATGTGACAAAGTTCCTTTCTTTTGTAAAACAATTTTACTGAAGTGTTAGTTTTTTCAGTGATGATTAATTAATTATGACATTGGGATAGATAGCTTTTACATAGATAAGAAGTAGTAAAATCATATCTCTAATTGAAACTTTATGTAAGAAATTTGAAGATGAAACACAGTGAGATTTAGATAATCTTTTAAATTTTTTATTAGTTCTTTTTAGGTATATATAAGAATAGGGTTCATTTTGATACAAGAGTGTAGAATAGAATTTACTCTCTAATTCAATCTCAATTTCCCTTTCCCTTCCTTCCTTCCTTCCTTCCTCCCTCCCCCGTTCCCTTTCCTCTACTTTAGTGATCTTTCTGCTATTTACTTATAGTTTTTTTTTTAAATTAGTACCTGTGGTTATAAATAAAAGTTAGTTCACTGTGTATGTCAGATTCATCCCACTGTTCTTCGCTTATCCCATTCTCTCCTCCCACCTCCTCTATTCCTCTTTACATTCCACCAATCTCTCTCTATTTTAATGGAACCCACCCACCCACCGCACACACTCCCCCCCCCATTTTGGACTAGCTTCTGCTTATTAGAGAAAACGTTTGACCTTTGACTTTCTGGATATTACTTATTTCATTTAGCATGATGGGCTTCAGTTCTACCTGTTTTCTAGCAAACGTCATAATGTTATTTTTCTTCATGAGTTATACACCATTGTATATATACACCATATTTTCTTCATCCATTCATCTAGGTTGTTTCCATATCTAAGCTGTTATGAATTGTGCTAAAAACATTGATATGACTGTAACCATATAGTATGTTGATTTTGGATCTTTTGGATATACACCTAGGAGTGGGATAGTTGGGTCACATTGTTGTTCCATTCCTGTTTTTTTTAAAAAATATTTTTTATTTGTTTTAATTCATTATACATGACAGTAGAATTCATTTATGTACTTTGATATATTATACATCAATGGGGTATAATTTATCGTTTTTCTAGTTGTACATGTTATAGTATTACTTTGGTCATGCAGTCATATATGTACATAAGGTAATAATGTCAGTTTCATTCTACTATCCTTCCTAATTAAGGAATTTCCGTATAGCTTTCCAGAGTGGTTGCACTAATTTGCAGGCCTACCAACAATGTATGTGTATACCTTCATCCTGCCAACATTTATTATTACTTGAGTTCTTGATACTTGTCATTCTGAATAGAGATGAAATCTTAATGTAGTTTTGATTTGCATTTCCTGATGGCTAGAAATGTTGAACATTTTTTAATGTATTTTTTGGCCATTTGCATTTCTCCTTTTGAGAAATGTCTGTTTAGTTTTTTTGCCCATTTTCTACTTGGGTTTTTTTTTTTTGTTGTTGTTGTTGTTGTTGTTGTTGTTGTTTTGGTATTAAGTTTTATGAGTTCTTTACATATTTTGGATACTAATGGCCTGAGGAGCAGGTGACAAAGATCTTCTCCCATTCTGTAGGCTCGCTCTTCACACTCTTGTTTCCTTTGCTCTGTAGAAGCTTTTTAATGTGATGCTATCCCATTTATTGATTTTTGGTTTATATCTTGGGCTTTGAAACTCTGGTTACAAAAGAAAA